AACTGGGATGTTTGGACAATCAGATGGCCCATGGCAGGTGGGGTGGATCTTTGGGGATTGGTGAAGGGACACAGAATTGGCAGCAGCTGTTTCAACGTGTTTGGATCTGATGCTCACTTTTCCCCCCAGCAGCACTGAAGCCATTTTCACGCTGCTGCTTCCTAGGGGTTACATGACAAGCCATGCTGCAACTCCTCCACACACCAACATTATCTCCAATAATATCTCCAATATGAACGTGAATACGGGGATGAGTCAAAATCTGCCTTTCTCCCAGGTGATTTGGTGCTACTTAAGTTAACTAACAACATAGGTAAAACTTATTTTTCTTCTTCTTCCAATCTCTCCTGGTTTGGATTATATCCAAGCAATTGCATTCCTGGCAAAGACAATTAAATTCTTTTATTTTTTTGCAAGTAAACGCCCAAGGATAAGAGAAAAACAATTATATCTCCCCTCAAGTGACAGGGGTGGGGACTCTCTAATACAGAACTTTATTATATTGCAAATCAAATAAGGCGCCTTGTTCTTTTTATTTCAGAAGAAGGTTGCAAACCATCGGTTCAAAATGAAATGAAAGTAGTCGATGGTCTCCAAATATCAGTGCTCTCTTTTTTGAAAAAGAAAAAAAAGCTGGCCAGGGGTCTTTATCACTTTTGTAATAATGATAACCAACTGAATGAACAGGAACTTCAACTTAAATTAGATACAGTGGTACCTCGGGTTAAGTACTTAATTTGTTCCGGAGGTCCATACTTAACCTGAAACTGTTCTTAACCTGAAGCACCACTTTAGCTAATGGGAGCCGCTGGAGCACAATTTCTGTTCTCATCCTGAAGCAAAGTTCTTAACCTGAGGTAATATTTCTGGGTTAGCGGAGTCTGTAACCTGAAGCGTATGTAACCTGAAGCGTATGTCACCCGAGGTACCACTGTACTATGCAAATATCATGGTTGTTGCTTTGACAAATCTGATCATTTTTAGGAAAGCCTTCCATAAAACCTCCCATCCTCCTCCCTAACCATCAGCCATGCTGGCTGGGCCTGATGGGAGCTGGAGTTCAGCAGCGTCTGAAAGGCCAAAGGTTCCTCACAGCTGTGCAGCTCCATCAACAGGAGTGCAGTAAATGAAACTTTCTAGAGGTGAAATGAGACAGCAGTCTCACAAAACTCTACAGCTGGAAGAACAAAGGTCAAAATCCCTTCTAGCATGAAACCCAGATATCTGTCTACTTCACATGAACATGAGGGTGGGATACAGCTTGGCTTACTCTCTCTCAAGCATCTACAGAGAAAGCAAAAGCAGTCGTTCCTGCAGCTTCGATGAAGGCTTTTCTTTTTTTCACAACAACGCTCTGCTAATTCGCACACATCATACCAACGAAGGGTTTTGAATTACTGCCTACAGAACACTTTGTATATTTGTCAGTGTTTTGGCATTCGGTTGACATGGCCTTATGATGGAGAACGTTCCTATTAGCCTTGGGCATGTTTCTTTCCTCCCACCCCCGGGAAAGGTTTGTGCCAACTTCTATTCTAATTATTTCACTAACAAATAGACAATTTCTTTTTCTCTGAGGGGAAAAATGTAGGATTGTTGAGGTTTCCCAGCAGAAACACAAGACGCATTGCTTAATTGATACCAGCAAAACAGCTGGCACCATAGAATGACATACGCCACACAATGACATTGAAAACACAGCCATATTCCTCCCTCTTGGCACATGAGATCTTGCTCAGTGTCATTTGATTAGATCTGTTGAATCGGAAAGCTAGCATTTCACCCACCCAGTATATATGTGTATATGTGTGAGTGTGTGTTCTTCCTTCTGAAAGGCTGCCAAAGGTAACAAACTAGTTTGTAGAAGTCTAGCTTGTGTATGCGGAAATGTCATTTCTTCCAAACAATCAAAATACATATATAAGCATCGCTGCATGTACCCCAAATTGAAAAGTTAAAATTCAGTGCAAATGAATCCCAGACTTACATTGGCGCTTGGGGTGGCATATGCAAATTAAGCAAATTTCTATGACTAGGCTATGTTACATAATATATTCTAATGCATGGAATGTGAAACTTAACTGAATCCATATTCATAAAAGGACTGTGATACTGTCTCCCTGGCACTGTACTACTTCAGAATGCACTGGACAAGGGCACAATGGACTGAGATTCCTCCAGGGTTGAATACTACCATGTGTTTCAGTTCTAGTCTATGCTTCTTTCTTTCTTGCAGATGTGCAGAGAACACTTAATGTGGGGCATCATTCAGTTGTGACTTCCTAATGAGTGTGATGCTTCAGAATTTGTCTCAGCTTCCTCTTCAATCTTTGCAGACAAACCAGGTGCAGCCTACCTGCTGTGTCAGGTCCACCCCCAAGGCTAGCCCTGCATCCAAGCCTGCCTGCGATTGGCCAATTGCGCAGGCAGTCTTGGATCCAGCTCCTCACCTTTTCAGGCACGATTCCAGTGACTTGAGCCCCCTCATTTTTTTTTTAAGAATAATTTTTTATTAACCGACCAATCACATCAAATCAAACCAAATTACATAAATTCCAAATTACAGAGCCGAATTTTAAATTTTTGTTGGGGGTACCCATATTTCAAGTTCCGAAGGGATCCAATCAACTTTTTGCTTCTTACTGCTGTTTTAATGTCCACAAATCTAACCTTATGATGTACTATCCAGTCCTTTCTTATTATTTTTCCACATCTCTTGTTGTTATTTTCATATATTTTTCCTTTCTCTTTGTGACTTCTGATAGTCTCCACAAGCTGGTTAGAACAGTTTGTAATCCTGCGTGGATATTTTTTTTTTTATCCAGTAGCCATATCCAGACGTTTTCCATATAACATCACTTCCATACATCAAAACAGTCTTAGCGTCATTGATCTTCACCAATCTGCCTCCTTTCTCAAAACCTCTGAGGAGATTCACTAGGAATGCAGTCTGAAAACAAATCCGTTCTTCCTCCCGGCTGTAAATCCTTTGGCAAGATGGCGACTCTGAATTAATTGCTGCGCCATTCCCAAAAGCTCTTATTGCTTCTCGGTCTCCATAAAGCATACTTTTGGTTAAAGTTTATCTCCACACAGACCTTAATCATCCTGCTCAGGTCAGTTCAACCGACGGTTCTAATGAGGAGGGGTTCTTGTAAATCACATAGAAGGAAAGTAAAAAGGTTTCCCCCATTCAGCCCCGTTGTCAACATACCCCACCTTTGGTGTATCTTCATCGTAAAATATTCCTGTTTCTCCAGCCCGTCGTCTTCTTTCGCAGAGGTCACTTAAATTAGCAGACTTCACTCCCCTTCTTCACTTGAAATATGTGCATTTGCTTCTTTTGTAATTAATTATTCCAAATTGCTGCAACTAGTATGCGATCAGAGACAGTGTCCAGAAGAGCCGATGTCCACACGGGGGCATTCTGCCTAGGGCCCTCACCCCCTTCTTTCAAATTAGGGGGTGATTTATGGGCACAGCAGGCAAGGGCAGTGTTCCCCATTTCCTTGGGGCAACAAGGGAGGCTGCCTACTCCCATAACAGCCTCTTAATTACCCCATGTGGGTCAGAGAGATGGTATTGTCAGCCATCTTCCAATGCGCCCCCTAGTGGCCCCCCGACTTGAGCCCCCTCATTGGGCCCAGGGAGGCCACCACTGGCCCACAATGCTGCCACACCAGGGAAAGTGAGTGGACTTGCATGAAAGTTCATGGACAGAGTTTGTGAAGCTTCCAGATTTGTCTCTGCTTCATCTTCAGTCTTTGCAGACAGCCAGTAGGACCGTATATGGGTAGATAAATGCAGCCTCTTGTTAGGGATTCTCAGCTGTGTCAGAAATGTACAATAATCTAGAAAGCCGTTGCTGATTAGTTTGAGTTCAAATGCTCCATTGCCTCTAACGAGAATGCTGACATCTCGGATTTCATCTTGGTGGAGTTGTTTGCTTGGAAGTGCAACGTAAGTACAATTAACACAACATGTATGTAATTTTTGCAGTCATGGCAGAACTAAGCTGCAGTTGATTGGCTCTGTTGCACTGTGTTTCCATTATCCCCTTCTGAATGTTGAAACATAATGCAAAAAATCTGGATTTCCTTTGTTTTGATTCTTTAGCCCCACCCCCACCCCTTTTGTCATTACGCTTTTTTCCCCCTTCCAGCCATGAGGGCTAGACACTTTATATATTTAAAATTCAAAAATGTATGCTCACATTCTTATGATTCCAATAGTCTGTGGCAAGCTGACTACAAGAATGCATTGAGGGGCACCTGCTGCCCTTCAGGCAATATGTTAGCTGTCCAGTGGTTAGGCTGACCATATATGGATTGATGACTCATTCCTATTGTGTTTTGAAGTAGCTAGGCTGAAAGCAGAAGTCCTGCTGAGTCACCTGTGCCACATTATCTCTGAAGTGTTGAGCTTTACAAACACTCTCTTCCCACAAATTCAAATCAGCTGTGGCTAAATACACCCTGATATACCTATGCAGTGACCAGCCATTCAGTGACTTTTGAGAGGCATTTGCAAAATACAATGTTCATATGCATCCCACAACTCTCCTTTCCCTCCGGTTTCCCTCTTCTTCCAACTTCAGGCTATGTAAATCAAAGGGAGATAATTAACTGCTCCCTTTTATACTCAACAGGGGCTAATTTCATGTTAAAAGCTGTTATAGTATGAGCTCTGATATGCAAATAAAACAAACAGCCCAGAAAAGGATCCCGCCACATTTTCCTTTACAAGTCTAAATATAGAGCCAGTTTCCTTTTAACTTTAAAATAATTACTAAAATTTGAAATAGTATCAGAAGCATCTTTGCCCCAGGAAAGAAGAGAAAGTCGTTGCCCAAAGGGCCATTAATTGGGACAGTTCCCAGGAGACATCAGGCTTCTATAATGTATGTAGCAAGCCGTTACATAAACTAGCTTAGATTTGAGGGGATGAGGAGTTAGACCACAGAAAAAAATTGAGCATCTTCATGGATGTTAGCTGTGTCAGTTCCATGACAGCTCAGTTGGTTAGAGTGTGGTGCCTGTAACGCCAAGGCTGCAGGTTCAATCCCTGTATGGGACGGCTGCATATTCCTGCATTGCAGGGGGTTGACCTAGATGATCCTTAGGATCCCTTCCAACTCCATGATTCTATATATCATCATGTATGCGCTCATTGTGAGGGCCTGGCTGGCTGCTGCTAAAAAACTGCCAGACTACCCCAAGGATGGGGAAGCTGTGACCCTCCCAACATAGCTGGTGTCCAACTCCCATCAGCTCCACCCAGTGTGGCTAATAGCCATGAATCATCAGATCTGTAATCCAATTAAATCTGGAAGGCAGCAGGTTCACCACCCAGATGACCCAGCAAGATCTTAAATTCTTATATAGCTTTCTTTCAGTAGCTCTTCTTCTGTTGTAGGCAAAGCCCAGATCAGCCTAGGCTATTAGAAGTGTGTGTCAGAATGCTTTTTCTCTTCCCATCTCTGGTCCAGGAGAGGGAGGCAGGAAGTGACCAGAAGATGTGGTGCCCACAACACACACTCAGAAGAAAAAGAAGTGGTACCCACAAGCTTATGGAGGCTGGCAGCCCCTTGATGTACATGCTTTGAAGGAATTGAACTGTTTTCCTTCCTTCTTTTTCTATTCTGAAATAAGCCATCATTTCTAATCCTCAATATAAAAGTTACGCAAAAGCCAAAGTCTCCAAGGAGTCATTCAGATGGACCCTCCTTCCAAATTTAGAGGAGCCAAATGTGGATATTATCTAAGCTTAATTCAAATCATATGAGGGTCCCCCCCCACATTGGCCATATTCTCTTTGACAAAAACGTCCACCAGGTTATGGGCAGCCCTCACTTGTATAAAGGAGCTGTTTTATAAAGTTTCTAGCTGGCGATGAATTCAGAATCCAAAACACGTTGACAATTTTATTTAAAAAAACAAAAAAAGCATGAAACCAGCATTTTACCAATAATAAAAAAAGTCTTCCTTTGTGACTCATTTGCAAATGGAATAATAAAACATGGAGTTAGAGAAATTGCTCCATTTCCTTTGGGTTCTTAAGAATACCCAAATGGAGAGAGAAAGAGAGACAGAAAAACTTTCTGGTAAACAGTGTGAAGTTTTTTGTAGACTCTGAAGTTTGTTCTGCCCTCTGGATGCCGCTGTTTCTTTCCTCCACAACTCCACCTCACGTCACGTCTCTTGGTCTGTTGAGTATTTTGGCATCCTAGGCAGCCAGTGTTTGTGCAGTGATTTGTTCTGCTCACTGCCCTTTCCAGTGTTCCTGAGAGCACTATTATTTTTCATTGTTGTCAACTGTATTGTGTTGGAATCATTGCCTCTCATTAATTTCCATTTTAGCATGTTTATACTTAAGTTCCAATGAAGTGCGGCTTTTAAAGTTTCTCAAAAATAGCCATTTTTTAAATCCACCTAAATGGGGCCCATCTTATCAGTGGATTGTATATTTATTAATGTGATGCTCATTATTAACCTATTGTTTGTATGACTGTTTACACTGGGTTGCCTCTTGTAAATGCTAGTGAATTATCTTACATAACATTTTTTGCTGCTATGCATCATTTAGAGCAGGGGTGTCAAACTCAAATTCATCGGGGGCCGCATCAGCAGTTTGGTCACCCTCAAAGGGCCGGTTGTATCTGTAGGACTTACAGTACAGGAGAGAAGGGTTCAGGCAGCCGTTGGATCTGTCACATCACAGGATGGCATGCGCTCAATATAAAAACAAGTGGTGGTTTCCTGAATGCATGTAAAGTGGAGGTTTCCTGTGTAGAACGGCCGGCGCCGCTAGAGGGCAGACGTTCTCTGGCTTGTAGGCTGCCGCGCATGCGCTGAAGAGGCGGTTTTCTTGTGTCAAAAAACAACAACCGAGAATAAAAGGTGAAGGCTGGCGGCCGGCGGCGGCTACACGGGCCACATGACGAGGTCTGCCGGGCCGGATTCGGCCCGTGGGCCTTGTGTTTGACACCCGTGATTTAGAGCATGGGTTGCCGTGAGAAAGTAGCATACAACTAAACAATGATGATGATCTTCAGTAAGACAAATCACTACAAATTGAGCTATATATGTGACCCAAATGTATTAAAGCACGGAGATGCTTAGATTTGGAACTGAATATTGTATCTCCTAGCTACATTGTCATTGATTTGAAGTTGTCAGCTGTAAATTTTGTACAAATCACGACTGTGCATTTGCTTGTGCATGTAAGATACCTGTTGATCTGTGGCTCACTTGACATTGTAAATTCACCTATACAACAGTGTTCTGCCTCATCTTCCATATGTTTCAGTGCATTAAATACCTGTATAAAGATGATACCTGTAAGATGCCCCAAAGCTTCAGGAAGAAGGGCAAAATGAAGATGGCAGCAACTGAGTTTATTCACACAAATACAAGTGTGCAGTGACTTCTATCAAATTCTTTCATGGCTGTCTGGCCAGATCCACCCTTTGCAGAGCTTGGGGAATGAGATAACCATTTATAATGAAGTCCAATGAATGTCATGATTGGCTTTGTGTACTGTAGCACTTAGAATGTGTCAGACTAGGGCCTGGAGACCAGGGTTCAAATCCCAACTTGACCATGAATATCACTGGGTGGTTTTGGGCCAGTCACTGCCTCTCAGCCCAACCTACCTCACAAGGTTGTTGGGATTAAATGGAGAACTATGCATGCCACACTGAGCTTCTTGGAGGAAAGGTGAGAAATAAATGAAATAAAATACATAAAGAAATAAGAGACCCCTCCCCAATGAAACAAAACATGGTGGGGGGAAATGTATACTTCTGGGGAATGGCTTCATTTGTCAGGCTTCCTAATCTGTAACATCGGTGAACTGCATATATGACTCAAATACCACAGCACTATTTTTCAAATGACATCAGACTGTGCCTTTTAATTTTTAAAACTCCAAAAGCAGTATTGCCCCCGTATCATAAATTACTTTATAACATTCCAGTCAATGGTAATTAAATTTGAGTGAAGGAGCTTGTGCTCGGCAGAGAGACAAGTTTTTTAGGTAGCTTGCGAAACTGGTCAGCTGAAAGCTTTAAAGTGGACCTCTGGCAGTAACAAACTTTCTGTTTATAAAGAAGCTTTGTCTCACACCAAAGACTAATAATGTGTGCAATTATCTGAGAACATATAATCACTTGCTTACTTTCATCTTGTGCGCAAATGAAGCTGGGAACCAAGGTGAATTTGGAATCTAGTTATACATAGAGCTTAATCACACACTCTTTGGTCCTTTGATGTCAGTGGGAATTTTGTCTGACGAAGGGAATGCACGATAAGGCTATGGGGTCTCTAACCTGTCGCTGCCTTTCACAGGCAGAGTAGCCAAGCAAGCAGCTTCCCTGTGACACAGGGACTTATTTGAGGGCAAATCATGGGGTGGGTGTGTGTAAATCCTATAGAAGAGGAAGTAGAAAATGAGTAAAGTTTGACTTCTATTGATAAATTTAATGTAAACAGCAGATAACTGGTACACAAATATTGTTAAATGGAAATAGAGGGAGGGGTGTGTGTGTGTAAGGAAATGATTGAAAATAGGAAAGGGAGAAAGTGGGGAAGATGGTAATAGATTATACACAGACAGCTCTAGCCCCACCCACTTTTGAATCTGGCCCCTCCCCCTGCCAACTCTAGCCCATTCTATCCTTGGAACGCATTGCAGCCCTTGACATAAGATAGGTTCCCCACTTGATCATAGAGGACATGTCTGTTAAAATGTAACAATCATGGAAATTTCAGGTTCAGAGCCCCTGTGTCCCTTTGAGTGCCAGGTGCTGTACAGTAACAAGGAGTAAAGCCATAGCCATGTGTAGTGGTGCCCAGGTTGTGGAACACCCTCCCTTGGAAATACATCAATAATAATAATAATAATAATAATAATAATAAAATAATTTATACCCCGCCCATCTGACTGAGTTTCCCCAGCCACTCTGGGCGGCTCCCAATCAAGTGTTAAAAACAGTACAGCATTAAATGTTAAAAACTTCCCTGAACAGGGCTGCCTTCAGATGTCTTTTAAAGATAGGATAGCTACTTATTTCCTTCACATCTGAAGGGAGGGCGTTCCACAGGGCAAGCATTACTACTGAGAAGGCCCTCTGTCTGGTTCCCTGTAACCTCACTTCTCTTAATGAGGGAACCGCCAGAAGGCCCTCAGAGCTGGATCTTAGTGTCCGGGATGAACAATGGGGGTGGAGACGCTCCTCCAGGTATACAGGACCGAGGCCGTTTAGGGCTTTAAAGGTCAGCACCAACTTTGAATTGTGCTCGGAAATGTACTAGATTCTCCTTTCTTTGTTGGAGGGTTTTTTGGGGGGGGGGGCACTTCTTAAAAACCTTCTCATTTCAGCAGACATTTAATCTAGTGGGCTGGTTATTTATTTCTGAATTGCTTTATCTCCTGCCTCTCTTTCAATAGTGTGATTGCTATATTTATTGCAAAAAAGCAGAAAAGACGTATGATTGGGCTGCATACAACATTATTTGTCTGTTAGCACAAGGGCTTCCACACTAATGGGTGGGTGAGTTTTAATGCTGTCCAGCAGCGGAACCCAATGCAACCATCAAACCGGCGGAAATACGTTGCGCAACGGATTCCGCAATCTCTTACGCAACAAAGTTACGAGCACCCAGCAGAACACGTATGACGCTAAGCTTCTTTAAATTAGTGCTAAGTTATTTTAAATCTCTCTTTTAAAGTCTGTTGTTAGCTGCACTGGGCATTTTTATGAGCAGAAATGCAGTTTATAAATCCTTGAATGAATGGCTTCATAAAATAAGTGATCAAGCTGCCTCTGGATGCCTTGACAGTAGGGTTTCATTTTCACCTGAACTGTTCGCTTCGCAGTACTTGCACTGGCTTAAATATCAGGCTGCCAAACTAATGTTAAATAGGTCTTGGGGTGGAAACACATTAAAATGGCATGTGCTTGACTTATTTTTCAGTACAAATAAAATGACTGCAAGCGTCTGAAAAAACTTTGCTGGGCAATCTATGCAGAAGTACTTTAGATCTGTTCTTCGATACACTTTAAAAAGGAAAAT